TGAGGTCTTAAAGTTGGATGAAGCAGTGTGGATCGTGTAAAAACAGCTATTTGTAGGTGGCGCAATTGGGCGTATCGATAAGCATAAGTCGATAATTGAGCGCCAAGCTCGCGATTTGAACAATGCACTACCAATTTGCAATACAATACATATAAGTACACATTAACCTATACACCCATTTTAGCATAGTTTTAGAATAGATAATATTGGCACCATAGTCTGCACGGGCACTGGCCAGCCAACATAAGTAATAATAATAAGCAAAAATAAAACACATACAAGTAAAAAAGCTAAAGTCGGGTGTCCCGACTTTGAAATACTCTGTACATATGTTTACAATAATTAAAGAAAATAAAAAAAATTAAGAAATTTATAAAAAAAATTTTGATCGATTTTACCTTTCTCGGTATTCGAACTCACGTAAAGGGTATATAATTGCACATTTACATAGCAATTGCGTCTGTGTGAGTGTACAGGGTGCGCCATCTTTTATGTCGGTAGGTAAATATTGAATAACTTTGTCATTAGTGAACCGATTGACCGATTGATGTTGTTTTCAAAAATTAGTCTGAAGAAATTGTACAGAACCAAATTAAATAAAAATATCTTATACTTGCGAATTGGTTGTTTATTTTCAAAGATATTCAATGTTTACATACCGACATATAAGATGGCGCACCCTGTATGTATGCCAATGCGCATCTATACGTGTCTGTGTAAACATGTTAGCAGTCAACCAAACAGCAACATCAACAACAGCCGCGGGCAGCGCTTGAGCTGCGCTGCACCATTAAATATATTTATGGCTATAACTTCTTGTTAAATTTAGTTCGAAATTCCAAGAATTACGGGAGGTACGATTTGCGGGGGAGAGGGGGAGGGAAATTCCAAAATATACATTTTCTGCGTATTCACATAAGGCATTTTGGACTAAAATTTGGTGTTCCTAGGTCTTATACGAATGGAAAATCGGGAAAAGGCCCATAGGGGGGAAGTGGGGGGAACATAAAAAAAAATAAAACAAACTCGTATAGCGTACACACATAAGGCATCTTTCTGCAAAATTTGGTGTCTCTATCTCTTATAGTCTCTGAGATCCAGGTGTTCATACGGACAGACTGACAGACGGACAGACAGACAGACAGACAGGGCTAGATCGACTCGTCTCGTCATGCTGATCAAGAATATAAATACTTTGTGGGGTCTGCCACGCCTCCTCCTGCCTGTTACATTTTTCAGCTCCCGCAAACCTAATATACTTCTGTACATTTCATGTACAGAGTATAATTATTCTGCTACTTCAGCATAAGATCAACAGTCAGATATAAGGTTATAGCCCAAACTGAGCTGACACCAGCATACTTATATGCTTGCACATTATTATTGTGAAGCCACCAACACATAGAAACGGTAAATATAAATAGTCATAAGCTAGTTTTAAGCATAACTATATCAGCCATGAATTGTTAAAATAAAGTCAGTATGCACGGTATCAACGAACGACCTGTTACTTTGGGTCGATACGGGAACCGCTGATCTTTAAGCACTACCACGTTGAACTACATGCTCCCAAGGATCGCCAGTTGGAATCCTTGGTACTGCAAGCACTCACCATCCGATTCAGGATTCCGGTGGAGCTCGCTATTAAGTACGAAACTAAACCAAACGTCCTGCTGCGTTTCACTCAAGGGCAACCGGGACAACCGGTGTTACTCGCACCTACTGGACCACGAGGGTCCACTGAAACAGCAGGGCCACAAGTGCCTTTAATAAACGGACCACGAGTGTCCACCCAAACATCAAACCGGACCACTTCGATCCCGTCTTGGTCAACAGTAGGACCACAAGCGTTCTTCAACTTAAATTCGTCAGGACCACGATCGTCCTGACGATTCGCACTACCGCACGTGTGCGAATAAACATTGGTGACCCCGATCACTGAGCACGTAACGTAGAGAAAACGTTAACAAGATGTCGAAAACCGACAAGTCTGATAACTAACTACAAGAAGAATGACTGGGAACGCAAGTCCAAACCTGAGTACTACCCAAACCTGGCCCGTCGGCTACAAGGTTTGGCACAGGAATTGGAAGAGGGTCAAATCGCCCTGATAGCCACAGAAGATCTTGAGTACTTCCTGCTATACGAGCACTCTTGGAAGCAGGCCCAGAGATACTTGGAGTTGTTCCAGCAGCCGCCGACCAGAGGGGCTAGCCACAGCACGAATCGCGAGCCCGAAGGAAGAGCAACGATCACCGAGTCAGGGTTCCAGCTGCAGGTTCCGCCAGCCAGTAGCTCCTCGAGGCCGGCAAACCCAAGTAGCCTAGGGCCGGAGTTGATCAACTTGGCGGTCATAGAAGAAGGAAGGATGACGCCTACATAGGTAACAGCCTTGGGCGTCGCTTCTTGCAACTACGAGCTGAACGCGTTAAAAATCATGGTGCAGAGTTTATCAGCTCAACCGATTCTGGCAGAGACAAGAATAGGCCCTGGCAGCGTGGAACCGAATTCAGGACAAGCGGGATCTGCTCAACATCAACTGGGAGAACCCAGAAAGGCAAGGCTTCAATTCCATCCTCTTCTTGAGGGTCAAACAGCTGCTGAACGAGTTCCTGTGTAAGGAAGTTCCCCAGGAGGCTAGGCCAAGCACACAGCCCACCGCCGACATAGCAGTCCGGCTGCCACAAATCGCAATTCCACCGTTCGACGTACGTGAACTGTTTCAAGAGATGATCCATGGGACTAGTTTACCAGATGTACATAAGATGTGCTATCTAAAATCTTGCGTAACGGGAGAGCTAACAGCTGATGAACCACTTTAGCGGAACAGCTTCAAACTATTCAGTGGCCTGGGAGACATTAATGCAACGCTATGCTGAGCGGCAGCATCCGCAGCCGCTGGCAAACGCCTGTGCGCAGAGGTGAGGCACTGGGAATCCATTTCAATGGGAGCGTGGATCTTAGGTCGTTCCTTCGGGAGCTGGTAGAACTGGCGAAAATGAGTGAGGAGCTGCTGTATAACCTAATACCAATGCTTCCGCTGATTCTGAAAGACAAGACACTGATGTGGCAGCGCGCGCGACGCGACCCGACGAGGATGTGGGCGGAGTTCCATGAGGGGTTCGAATCGGTAACTTCATAGAGATGCAGCGACTCATGCTAGACGCCGACTGGACGCCGGAGGAACGGGTGAGACTTCTCCACGATAATTGCCTGCCGTCAGACCGCGACGGTATACGCGTCGCAGACGGATCCAGAAAAGGTGGCAGCCATACGTGAATTGAAGCCCCATTCAACCTAAAACAGCTGCGGCAGTACATCGGCATGGCCTCAGGGTACAGACGGTTCGTGCCCAACTTTGCGACGACAGTTGGCCCACTCACCAAACTGCTGAAGAAGGGCAAGAAATGGGCCGCATTGCGCGATGGGCACTGGATTTGCAGCAGCACACATTCGACGTCCAATACCGCAAAGGCTCACTGAACGTAGTTGCGAACGCACTGTCACGCAAACCGCGTGAGGTAGCTGGCAAAGCCCACACTGCGCCGGAGGCCCCAATAACGGGCAAATGGCTTCAGCGGCTGATGACAGCAGTTATAGAGTGTCCCGAGAAGTACCCTGACTACGCAGTGCAGAATGGCCGGCTGTACAGACGCGTCGCCAATGTGATAGGAGACGAAGATGTGTCCCCATGGAGGCTGTGCGTGGACACGGCCCAGCGGCGGCGCGTGCTGAAGGAATGCATTGACGATCCGACGGCTGGTCATATGGGTGTGCGCAAGACAAGCACTTAACGTTTCCTTTTGTTGCTTGCCATAGATTTGCATAGGCTGCTGCGCAGCCGCCACATATGTACTAGTTATTGTCGCTAACTCTGCAAGTTAAGTTCGTTTTCGTTATCGCATCTGGTACGGAGAAGCTTAGCTTTCCGTCTACCAGCATAAACTTTGGAAATCTCGGCGATCGCTACCTATGCAAAATAAACATTTGTGAACCTCTTTTAAATTGAACAATTTCGTTTTCGCTTATTTTGCAATTATTTCGCCAACATAATTTCGCATATTTGGAATCATAAAAAAGCTTATGATTATACAAATTGTATGTACATATTTATGAACATTTGTAAGTACATCGGTATGTAAATATGTGCAATCTACGCACAGCCCAAATGGTAAGCGTTAAAAAGCTTCAAAGTGTAGGTGAGCACCAAGAAGTGGTTTTAGAAAATTAGAAATCCGATTAACTTTAAACTTGGTTTATGTATTTACTATGAGAAAGAATACAGAATAAACTGCGTTGTATTTTTGTAGCTTTCCATTAAAGATTAGAAGAAATAATTATAATATATGTATGTGTGTATGCTCATTTAAATGTTGTGCAGTTGCATAAGTTGACCAAATAACTTTGCCAAATTGTACAGCTTTTAATTCTAGAAATTACTTGCCTTGATTTATCCCTGTCATACTATATACATGTGCATACATATGTACATATATATGCACATATAACCGTACATAGTATTTATTGTACTTTATGTCCTAGCTCTCGAAAGTAATTTGCTATTTGGGAAATGAACTCTTTAGAAACTTTAGAGTGTCGTAAGAAAAATATCATATAATTGTAAGCACAAATACTGAGTCTGCAAAGACGGGCAAGACCTGCTAGTTGGAATATAAACCTTTTAGTTTTTCTGAACAATCTGCATCAAAAATGTTTTGCATATCCTATGTAAATATTTTTAAATTAGCAAATTGTGTTTTGCCGAGTGGGCAGGTTCGTTGTTGCAATTACTGTGCACAACAGGGCTGTCATGTGCATTTTTATGAGTTAATTAGTTTAGGAAATCGTTAACAATATTTAAAGCTATTAAGCTTTTAGGTATTTCAAAAAACCCCTAGCCGAAATATCTAGATTGAAAACAAAAATACTTAGCCCAACAGAGACCGGCCACAACTGGTAAGATTTATATAATCATTTAAGATTTTTCAATATCGTTTTAGTTGCTCCTTTGAATATTCGACTATTGGGAGCACATGAACCTCTATCTGCGGGACGGAGATACGACCTCTTGTGTCAAAGTGCTGGATCTCGACCACCCGCTGTAATTACATGGTGGCAAAATGGTATTCGATTAGAAAAGACAACGGAAACGGTAAGTATTTACAAATTGTAGGCAATTTACTATAATTTAATGATTTAATAATATATATTAAATATATATATATATATATATATATATATATATATATATATATATATATATATATATATATATATATATATATATATATATATATATATATATATATATACAATGCGATGCTACAAGTAAAAAAATTTCCAATTCACGCGGTGGGCAATGATTCGCAGTTCTTTAACTGTCTGCTAATAATCCGATGGGTTATATACCGAATATGAAGCGTCACTGATACTACGCGATGCTACAAGCCTCAACTATGGAATCACGGCAGCGAGATGCACTAGCAGTGAGGACTTGAAAGGAAACTGTTTGAAGTGTGGCGAGAAAGGTCATGTAGCAAGAACTTGTACCAAGGATCCTGCAATTGATCAAAGCTCGCGGCCTGTAAATTTAAAGCTGCTACATTGCCTTTAACGTGACAATCAATGAGCTTGCAGAAATTCTGGAAGTGGCACGCTTAGAGCGTTGACACTTGTTACATGGTCAGCGGGCAGTAATCCTAAACCTTTCTTTCGCGTTCGTCGCTTGTGACAGTGGGCCCTAGGAATTGATGAACTGTGGCTATGCTACAACATATGTACAGAGCACTTCAAAGTCGGGACTCCCGACTTTAGCTTCTCTACTTTTTATACTCTGTACGTGAAATGTACAAGAGGGAGCTGAAAATGTAACAGACAGAAGGAGGCGTGGCAGGCCCCACAAAGTATATATATTCTTGATCAGCATGACGAGGCGAGTCGATCTACCCCTGTCTGTCAGTCTGTCCGTGCGTATGAACACCTGGGTCTCAGAGACTATAAGAGATAGAGACAACAAATTTTGCACTAAGATGCCTTATGTGTACGCTATACGAGTTTGTTTTATTTTTTTGATTGTCGTATAATCGCCTATAAGACATAGGAACACCCAATTTTAGTCCAAGATGCCTATGATATGATCAATATGATAGACCGATTTAACAAGAAGTTATAGCCATAAATATATTTGCTGTCCAAGCGCTGACCGCAGATGTTGTTGATGCTAGTACTTTGGTTGACTGCAAACATGTTCACAGAGACACGAATAGAAGCGCATAGACATTCATACACTCACATAGACGCAATTGCTATGTAAATGTACAATTATACACCCTTAACGTGAGTTCGAATACCGAGAGAGGTAAAATCGATCAACATTTTTTTTAATGCTCTTAATTTTTGTAATTCCTATAATTATTCCACACATATGTACAAAGTATTTCAAGGTCGGGACACCCGACTTTATCTTTTTTCACTTGTTATAGCTGAAAATGTAACGGGCAGAAGGAGGCGTGGCAGACCCCACAAAGTATATATATTCTTGATCAGCGTGATGAGACGAGTCAATCTAGCCCTGTCTGTCCGTCTGTCCGTATGAACACCTGGATCTCAGAGACTATAAGAGATAGAGACACCAAATTTTGCACAAAGATGCCTTATGTGTGTATTCTATACGAGTTTGTTTTATTTTTTTGATTCCCCCCCCCCCCCCCCCCCACTTCCACCGTATGGGCGTTTTCCCGATTTTCCATTCGTATTATCGCTTACTATATATCTCGGAGACTATAAGACCTAGGGACACAGTCCCAGATGCCTTATGTGAATACGCAGAAAATGTGCATTTTGGAATTTCCCTCTCTCCCCCGAAATTCGTTACTCAAACTTGGCAAATACCTGCATTTAGTTATTATAAGTCCAAATGCCAAGTTTCATCATGATAGGCCGATTTAACAGGAAGTTATAGCCATATAGAACAAGTAGTGCCCGCAGCTGTTGTTGTTGTTACTGCTTTGCTCAGGCACACGAGACATACACAGACACACACAAATACACGCATAATTATTCTACACATATGTACAGAGTATTTCAAAGTCGGGACACCCGACTTTAGCTTCTTTACTGGTTATGAAGAGGAATAATAAAAGATTCTCTCCAAATAGTTGGAAAGATTGACGAACCAAGTGACAGATTAAAGATTTTAAGTAATGGCTGTAAAAGGGAACTAGAACACTCCTTGAGAACACAACCAGGAATGTTGTCTGCTCCAGGACAGTATACAGATTTTATTGATTTGATAGCAGAAAGTAGACAGCTATCAGTAATTATGGGAGCGCAAATAGTGTGGGAAGATGAAATGCTATAAGGATAAGAGGTACTACTAATAGAGACAGAGGAATAAGTTGACTTGAAGAAGTTGGTGAAAACCAAGGAGGTTTTTATGACGTATACGATATGACACTATTTTGGATGCAGACGTCAAGAAGAACATTAATAGTGTCATAGAAAAACTTGATGGCTATGTTGATATCAACCGCACTATACAAAAAGGACCAATTAGTTGGTAAAATAAGTTCGTTAAGCTAAGAAAAATGTTCTTTCTGAAAGCAACGACCTGTTTTGTTAGAATAAAGTGTAGGAATAAAGGTGTGATTTGAAAATGATAGGGAGATTTCTAAAGTAGGGTGGAAAGTATCTTCAGACACTGACAGGGGTAAACACCTAGAGACAACAGCGTTACTAGGTGAGGTGAGGTGAGGTGATAAGGTATAGAATTAATTTAACACAAAAAAAGGTCCAACAGGCAATCCAAAAATTCATGCTCTGCTGAGGGCACCAAATAATTGGACTCATTGAAAAATGACCATTCTATGTTAGGCAAATTAAAATCACCTAGCACAACAAACGCATCTCTGCCACAGAGATGAGTGGAAATTGCTTTAATACAAGTTATATGTTGCATATAAACTTGAATATCGGAAGAGGGAGGTATATACGAGCAAGTGATGTAAACAGCCAAAGACGGAAAAGTTACTTTAACAGCAACAAATTCAACAACATTTGGTACATCACCAATCAATGATTTCCGACCGAAGGTTGGATTTGACTGCAATCAGTACCCCCCGCCTCGACGACTCGTCCGATCATGACGAAAGATACAAAAGTCATCTGATAAAATTTCATTATCAGAAATCGTAGGATTTAACCACGTTTCTGAAAACGCAATAATCAACAGGCAGTGACGAAACTCGTGGAGGCCAAAATTTTGGATCACATATAATAGTAAAAGCCTCAGGCGGCGTCTCTGAGATCCAGGTATTCATACGGACAGACAGACAGACAGACATAAATAGACTCGTCTCATCATGCTGATCAGAATATATATACTTTGTGGGGTCAGCTGCGAGCAGCGGTTGGGCAGCGCTTGGGTAGCGCGTGGGCAGCAAATATATTTATGGCTATAACTTCTTGTTAAATCGGTCTATCATAGTGAAACTTGGCATGCATACACATAATGTCTAACTGGAGATATTTCCCAAATTTGAGTTCGAAATTCCAAGAATGTCGTCTTGTCATGCTGATCAAGAATATATATACTTTGTGGGGTCTGACACGCCTCCTTCTGCCTGTTACATTTTTCAGCTCGCGCAATCCTAGTACATTTCATGTACAAATGAAACATACTTGCACAGCGTACACACATAAGGCATATTTGTGCAACATTTGGTGTCTCTAGATCTTGTCGTCTGTGAGATCCAGGTGTTCATACGGACAGACAGACGGTCAGAAGGACAGACGAACATAGATCGACTCGTCTTGTCATGCTGATCACGTCGGCTGTGTAAGTCGGTTATCTCCCCTACTCAGCCTGGTTTTAACAAATATCGTTCGGCAACATCCAATTTGCTGGAATTTACATCATTGATAAATGATGCATTCCTAGCTAAAATGCAAATTGATGTTATTTATAATGACTTCAGTAAGGCATTTGATCGCATTGGGTTTCCTTCAAATTTTTTGCTTTGGATTTCGTCCTATCTTAAAAATAGGACCCAGAAAGTACATCTCAGATCGGATATTGACAATTCGCTAACTTTATAGCGATCAAAAAACGATGTTAATTGTTAATTAAATGACACGCGGAAATCTTTCGATTATTCAAATGGCTTTAATGGCTTGTGCACGCCTTCGTGCACGTCTTCATGCGGCAGGGTAAGAAGAGGCTGTCCGATGAGAAGGTGGCCCGGAATGAGCACCTCTCCGTCGTTGGGATCGCTGCCGCCTGCCACCATAGGCCTGGAGTTGAGTATCGCCTCCTCGTCCACCAGGTGCGTTTTCAGGTCGTCTCTGGTCAGCCTCGGCCGCGTTCACCGCTGGCTCCCAAAGTCCTCCGAAGTGAGGAGCTCTGGAAGGAATGAACCGCCAATCTATCCCTTGCTTTGCCGATAAGTCTATCAAGGCGTATTTGCTCCTCTCGAACGCCGATGTCAGCTCCATCAGCACCACGCTCGCGCCCACAAAGTTGGTCGCGTTGTCGCTGTAGACTGTCTCCAGCAGGCCGCTTCTCCCGATGAACCTTTTGAAGACGTTAAGAAAGGCATCAGTTGATAGATCTGTTACCAGCTCGAGGTGAACGGCTTTCGAGGCAAAACAAACAAACACGGCGACGTAATTTTTAACGGGCGGTCTTCCTCGTATGCGGTAGCTTACATGGAAAGGACTGCAAAAATCGACCCCACAAACCCTAAACGACCTTCTCGAAGGCGATCACCTGGCTTGCCTAACAGACAGCTTATTTGTCCGCTTCCCCCAACCACCATTGTTTTTTTTTATAGCATACGTTTAGGCTCTAACTAAAACGGACCACAATGTTTTCTTGCTGTTTTAAGTCCTGTGAGTTTGGCCATAAGCTTGGTTCAATGGACCCTACAGTGCAGTGCTGGTTGTGCGACGACGTTGGTTACGCGAAATGTGCCGGGTTCGTTGGCCGGGTAACTGACTACTTAGGCAAAAACAACGGCTTAATCTGGTTTTGTGAAAGATGTCGTAGTATTGCTACCGAAATGCGTCAGTTTATGAAGCAGACGCATAAAAGCATAAAAGAACTTCGTGCAGAGTTTCAAGTTTTCCACGAAAAATTTGTAGCGCTGGAAACGA